ATGACTAATATCTAGAGTAATTTTGAGCCAAAAAGTTGACTTAAGGATATTTCAAGGTTGAAAGATAGATAAAGAGTAATTTTGTACCAATTCAAATAGTTAAAGGGTCTGACTTTTTTCCGTTTTGAAAATTTTCATAGTAATGGAATATCATATATATTATTAGTGACTTTTTTCCCTTTAATTTGCCAAAGCTCCTTATGTAAGAGATTATGAAACACTAATCAGCAGTACTTATTCAAAAAAAAGTTACTCTTAAACAATGTTTGAATATATGGAAGCAGCTGCTGCTGCTTAGACTTTTGGTATCATATTCTCTTTTCATTTTATGCCAAAAAAATTACACCTTTTTAGACGATTTCCTTTCTCTTCTTTTCTTTTCTTTTTCCCTCTTTTCCTTCTCCTTGATCGAGGTGTGCATTGTTCCACCCATGCACATGCATAAACTCCAAAATTAGTTATTTCCTCCGTTTCTTTTTATATGAATCAATTTGATTTGACACAAAATTTAAAAAATATACAAACTTTTTTTAAATTTGTGATACAGAAAATAGCACAACAAAATTTCTTTTCAAAAAATATTTGTTATTAGTGAGATTCAAACACACAAGCATTATCTCATTACAAGCATCTCGAAATACTAGGTCACAACAGTTTGTTGTGTTAGATTGTCCAAGACATGTTATTTGATATTTCATATATCATTCTGAAGAAAGATACACTATGACAATCATATAGCTACGCCATTGAGATGAGCATTTTAAAATTACTCCCTCCGTTTTAAAAAGAATGACCTAGTTTGACTTGAAACGGAATTTAAGAAATAAAAGAAGACTTTTTAATCTTGTGTAACTAATTAAAGTTATGTCAAATGCACCAAAATGTCCTTTAATCTTGTGGTCTTAAACATGTCACGTGAAAAATTAAAGTTAAAAGTATTGCCTAAAAAGGAAAGAGGTCATTCTTTTTTGAACGAACTAAAAACGAAATAGGGACATTCCTTTTCAATTGGAGGGAGTAAATTGTTACTCCCTCTGTCCCATTTTATGTGTCACTTTTCATTTTTCGAAAATCAAACAGTTAGATTTTGATCGAACATTTGCGTATGAAATTTTCAAATTTTTTGAAATAAAATTTATATATTTGTAAACTACGTAAAGTGTATTATAAGTTACAATAATTGATAATTCAAAATGTTAAAAGAATCTATGAAAAAATCACGGTCAAAGATAGATTTGTTTCAATCTCGAAATGCGAAAAATGTCACACAAAATGAAACAAAGGGAATTTAAATACTAAAAAGATATGTTATTTTATTTGAGATAGACTAAAAGTAAAAGTGAGTCGTATAACCTGAGAAAGGGGGAGTAAGTCTTTCTCCCCTTTTCTCACTTGTCATGAATGAAGAAAAAGATACTATCTCTGTCTCATTTTATATGGCAATATTTAATCGAGCACGGAGTTTAAGAAATAAATGAAGACTTTGAAATATTTAACAAATTGTCCTTTAAAAGTTGACTCACTTTTTTCTCTCCTTATAAATGTATTATAAATATATTTGCGTACTATTTTTAAAATTATGCGGGATCAACAAGGGTAAAAAAATTATATCTTTAAATACTTGACATATAAGAAAATGTGATATTCTTTTTTAAATTGATCAAAAAAAAAATTGTGTCACATAAAATACGACGGAGAAAGTATTTATTTGGAAAGCAATGATAAGATGATGATATATAGATTAGATGAACCCTCCAATCAAAAACTCCTGCTTGTTTAAGTCCCATGCATAAGTATCTCAATACGTTTTTCGATTAGTGTGTCATGCATCGACGTTCTTTTTCTTTTTATTTGTTATCTCATAAAGTTTTTACTTTAAACCAAAAAAAGACTAAAGTCTCTACTTTAGTTAGTTGTCACGTTATCATTTTTTCCCTTTCAATTCTTTTTCTGTCTGGATAAGCTCAAGATTTACAACATTTTCTAATACAAAACAAATAAAGAGTCAAGTAATTAAAGGGGAAAACAAAAGAATCAAACAAATTTGTAATTCCAACTAATTAAAGTAAAGAAATGACAAGAGAGGGCTCAATTATATTATTGAAAACTAATAAATCACACAAATATTTACAATTATACGACATCACAAAATTTCAAGTACATATATAAATTACATCCTTTAAAGATTCACCATTCAGTAATAGTAGTGATCGACGTTTAGATATTCTTTAGTATATATAATCATTCCACGTGTTACGGTTAATTTATTTACTTTGATTATAAGCTCTTTTGCAAAATTTAAATAATGAACTTTTATTTGGAAAATTCAAAATTTTGAAATTATAATTTGAAACTGAAGTTAAAATTCTTATATAAATTTCATAAACAAACATTAATTTCAAACTAAAACCTTGAAATTGAGATCTCAAATTCCAATGGTCAAACGTCAAGTCACCAACTTTATTTGTACTAAAGTTTAAAGTTTATAAAAGAAATAAGGAAAATAGCACAAATGAGAAACAATCCATATTATATTTGTTAGCTTAGATTTGATTGTTTCTAGCTTTGGTATTTGTATGAGTCTTAGATAATATAATCTAAGATTCTTGTGTTTTTTTTCCTTTGCTTTTTCTATCCTTAAAAGGATATCACTTTTCTTTTTTATACAACTCAAATATTTTATTTTTATTTATTAGGTGTTGTTGGGGGTGGCCTGGCCCTTTTTATCTTTTTGTGGGAAATAGAGAGATGCTTTGACTGATAATATGTCGTGTTAGTTGCTAATTATATCCCAAGACTCCAACGTCAAAATTAATCATAAAGTTCCTCTTTCTTATTGTAGAAGGGCAAGATATTGATTTGAGTTAAATAAAGGATCAAATAATAGACACCTATATTATTTTATTTAATTTAAAGTTTGTATCTAAATTATTAAAAATGTAAGTTTTCTATCTGAACTATCAGTCAATAGTTAGTGAAATACATTTAGATGTTGACTAACTATATCAAATGTTTGTCTAAAACGTGCATCTATAGATAAAATTTCCATTCACCTAATATAAATAACTACTCTATTTATTGAGACATTAATTTCTTTTAATGTATTTTTATTTGACTTCTTTTAAAAATCATAAACTCTCCCTTTTAAGTAGGGCACGTCACAACAGAGACGAGACTATACCTAAGAATTAGGTGGAGAAGAAGATGATTTGAATGGCACAGTTGGAATAAATTAATTAATATGGTGATAGTCTTAAACCTTAAACCTTAGCTTTAATCCGACATTTATTTATTAAAATTTTTCCACGATAGAATTATAACTATTTTTTCACCTGACAGAATTTTAATTTGAACAACAGCGAGAGTGTATATGCATCATCATAAATTAATTAAGGTGCAGTTTGTTAACAATTGAGTCATAGTTCAACTAAAAAACTTATACTTTCAATGGTGTAATACTTTAAAAAATTGATATAATTTAAATGCGTCTTTTATCCTTTTTTTTTTATCTCTTTTAATTTTTAGTTCTTGAATTTCATAGTGATCAGTTGATTTTTGTGAAAGAAAAAAAAAAGAGTGGAAAAGAAAAATCTACAATCACTTTTTTATGATATTATTCTTTCCCCCCCTTTTTTGTGTGACTATTGTTCAAGATTCTCCAATAATGTAACATTATCGTTATCCTCACAAGCAATGATATTTAGTCATGAGTCATATCACGAAAGTGCCAACATATTCAAGCTGATTACCTAATTTTACAATGATGATATATTCTTAGAAAAGATATGACCTTAATTAAGCTAATTAATGATAGCTACACTTGATTGTAGCATTTAAAAGAAGGCAAAAAAAAAAAATAGTAATCAAACTTTGCCTAATGATCAAAAGCTGTACTAGTAGTTTAGGTCATTCTTTCTTCTTCGTTTTTTCCTTCTCTCAATGATATGTATTTTGAATGATCATGATAACGTAACATAACATTATAATAAAAGAGACTCTTAGTGGTATTTTTTTAAGTGACAAAATAAAAAATATTTAGTACTAATTGAGTTGATGTCATTATATTCAAAATTATTAGAATATTTATTTGTGTTTATATACAAAGTTAGCTCATTACAGATTCTCCATATTTATTATTATCGCAAAATATAATATAACGATAATTATATTGTTATCGCTAAACTCTTTATTTGTTATGGTGTCCGAATATAACTTGTGATACTTAAAAAAATAAATCACACATGACTAGAAACGTATCTTTCTTCTTTCATTGTCGATTTTTGATGCAATCGCTTTTATTAAGTCCAAATAAGTGATGAAAAGTTGTACACTGGGTAAGAATTTCAAATATTTGTGTTGAATTTGAGATTTTTAAAAAGAGTTACGTTAATAAATAAGTGAGTTATTGATTCGCTTAAATGTTACGTGGTCTGGCTTAAAAAGGGTTTGAACAAAAATGATTTTGTTAAACTGCTCAAATCTAATAAATTGAACGAATTATGAATTTATGAGCTGATTTTGCCACCAATTAAATATAAAACATATATAAGTGATAAGAGAGGGTTATTCGGATAATAACACCTCCCACCTCTAATTCTAAGATTGTAAATTTGCATTATCAGGGAGAAAGATTAAAAAACTAAGCTAATAATTCTGAGAAATTAAAGAAGATGGAAAAATCCAACTTTGTAGCTTATACCATGCAAGACTCAAGAATATATATCAGCTGGCTTCTTTTCCTCCACTAAACAAATAAGAGTACTAGGACCATTAGTATGTACAATATCAGTATACACTATACACATACATTATCCTGAATGCACAAAATTTAGTAAATTAGGTAGTTTCACAATTAAAATTTTTTATGTGATATCTATTCACACCCTTTAATGATTGGAAAATGCTAAATCCTCTATATCTTTGTTTTGACCCTCTCTTCATGAAGGCTCAACCCCACACCAAAAGAGGCAAAATCTAGTGAAGGGAAAAACAACTACACTAAATTGTTGTTTGTCTTCCTTGATTGAAGATGAACTTGTTGTACATAACAACAAACAAGTTTTTCTAAGCTAATGGATACTAAAACTAGCTAGTTGTGGACATAGTTTAATTTGTCAATAACTTAGTTGATTTTCAGGCTAGAAATAGAGTATTCTTCAATTATATAGTTGGGAGATTATAAAAAGGTTCATGTGATATATATGGTCCACAAAAGTTCTCTTTACAACTGGGCTACTCAAAATCCTTTTCGCTTTGGCTGGAGCTAGCTAAATATAAAGAAATCAGTTAGATTTTTATTTGTTTTTAAAGAAAATTGTGGGAGACAACCAAAACATATTTTAAGGACCCAATAGTGTTGGGTCATTTTTAAATAAAAAGAAGAAGAAAAAAAAACTTGCTCTTCTTTTTAGCTATCTATCTATCTATCTATCTATCTATATATATATATATATATATATATATTATAATGTCTATTTATCTCACCCAACCCAACTCCATTATCTCATTTCTCTGTTTAATTAAGTAATCATCCCAAAAATTACTCAATTAATCAGAGCCCCGAAAATGTTAGCTTGTTTAGTTGAACGATTGGTAGCGGACAACGACACTGATTCGATACCTGATCCTGAAAAAAGTGTTGACATACATGGTGTTTTGAAAGACTTGAATATTGAAGGAAGCATTGATTATGGAGTTACGGCGATAAGTTTAGGCAGTACAGATTTCGGCGGCTTATATTCAGAGAAGCCTTTAGCCGTTATACGTCCAGCCGGAGCCGATGACGTTGTGCGGGTGATTAGGCGAGCGTTAGAGTCACCAACATTAACTGTAGCGGCGAGAGGCAACGGTCATTCCATTAACGGCCAAGCTATGGCCCACCATGGACTGGTAATCGATATGAAATCAATGGCTGATAATAACAGAATCGACGTAAATGTCAATTTCATGTACGTCGATGTTGGTGGTGGAGCATTATGGAGTGATGTATTGAAACATTGCGTTTTGAAATACGGCTTGGCTCCTAAATCGTGGACGGATTATCTTGATTTAACCGTCGGAGGTACTCTGTCTAATGCCGGCGTTAGTGGTCAAACTTTCCGATTTGGGCCCCAAACGTCAACTGTAACGGAATTGGAAGTTGTTACCGGAACCGGAGAAAAAATCGTCTCTTCAAATTCTCAAAATTCTCAACTATTCTTCTCTGTTCTTGGTGGACTTGGTCAGTTTGGTATCATTACTAGAGCTCGGGTTTTGCTTCAACCCGCCCCAGATATGGTTAGTACTATCATTTTTAAAAAAAATTAATTTTATCAATAATTTTTATGATTCTTTGTTTTATTTTGTGTATTAGGTGAGATGGGTAAGAGTGGTATATAGTGAATTTCACGAATTCAGTAGTGATGCTGAGTTATTGATAACAAACCCAGAATCTTTTGATTATGTGGAAGGATTTGTATTCGTGAATAGTGATGACCCGGTAAATGGATGGTTATCAGTGCCATTAGATTCAAATCAAACATTTGACCCGACCCATTTACCCAAGAAAATTGGTCCGCTTTTGTATTGTCTTGAAGTGGCGTTGCATTATAACAAGCATGAAGATCCCTTCATTGTAAATATGGTAAATCTGTCTCCCTCCCTCTTTTTACTTTTGCTTTGTGGATGGGAAGAAAAGGAAAAGTGGCAATGTTTTATTAGCTCCCATATTACTCCCTCTCTTTAAAAAAAAAAGTTGATCTAATTTAATATGGAATAAAATTTAAAATAAAAATATTTTAATTTTATAATTCTAATTTAAATTTATATTAAATGTATTAAAATATTTTTTAATTTTATAATAAAATTAAAATATTTAAAAAAAATCATATTTTTAGATAAATTAAAAATAAATAAAGTTATCCTTTTTTTAACGAGAATATAAAAATTTATAACTTTAGAATAAATAATAAAACTAGAATTAGTATTAACCTAGGTGGGTGGGGTGGGGGGCCCTAACCATGAATCAAGAATTGGGCCCCAGAAAGAGGGGAACATGAGATAAATCTAACACAGTGAAAAGGTCTAAAAGAGTATTTCGTTCCACAATTATATTCCCTAGAACAAATTCTACTTTATTTAATTGTATTTTAATAAGTAATCAAAGACACAAAAACAAAAGAATTAATGATAGAAATCACACGTCTGCGGAAAAGCGGCGGAAGTTGGGCTGAGGGGCCAGTTAGTTATATTAACACATTTTGATTTGATACAGAGTTTATTTAAAAAAAATTATAATTTAAAATATTTATGTAATTTCAAAATGAATGTTTTAAATTTTAAAAATAAAAAAATTAAATTGTATAAAAGGAGAGAGACGGAGTAATAGTTTGTATTTTTCTGACGGCAGCTTATTTGAAATTGCCTACACAATTGGGGTTTTATTACGAAATTAACACCCTACTTTTGACTGTCTCGTTTGTTTGTAATCGTTGATGACAAAACTCATAAAGCCTGAAGTTAAAACAGTAAATCTCCATTAGTTATTTGTCTTTTTTCTAATATTTGCTAATTAGAATTAGATTTTTATGTTCTGCGGTCCCCTAGTTAATCTCCAAATAGGATGTCATTGTGTATATAATTTCTTAATTTACTTTGCACATTTAATACTAACAAATGTTTTTCTTTCTTTTTTTATGATAGATGATTGAGAAATTGCTAGGCAAATTGAGATATTTGAAGCATTTTAGATACGAAATCGACTTGACTTATATGAATTTCTTATCACGAGTTGATCATGTAGAAGAAGCGGCTAGAGGTAGTGGTATATGGTCTACACCTCATCCATGGCTTAACATGTTTGTTTCCAAGAAAGATATTGATGCATTCAATCGAATTGTGTTTCAAAATATCTTAAGAAATGGTATCAATGGCCCTATATTAACCTATCCTCTCCTGCGTAGCAAGTAAGTATATTTTTAAATTTTTGCTCTTTGTGTTCTAAAATTTAAATGATTGTTTAAAAAATGTCAACTTTTAATTAACCCTAAAATCGGATAACTTGTTTGTTTATTACTAAATCTATTGTCCATCATCGATTACCCATATTTCTTTTGCTAAGAAAATCAGACTACTTGTTTTTTTAAAAAAAAAATAAAAAAAATTGACACGACAAATTTCATTGGCTTTGCAAGAGCCACGTGGATGTCTAATGGACTCAGCTAGTGACGTGTTCTGGGACCACAAAGATAGGCATCACATATGGCAACCTCATGTCGTCGTGGAACAGTGGTGACATGTCATGTTTCGATATAAATATAATTTTTTTTTATATCTATTTGATTTGGAGTGATTTTTGATTTAGTTATGTTATTTTAATTTTAAAGATAAATCCAAACAGGCTTTAATTATTTTGGTGGCAAGCGTAGAATATGTTTTTTTTTTAATAATAGTGATACAATTACTTTTCTCTTTTTTCCTCTCCCAATTAAGGGCCAAAATCTTGTTTGTTTCTTTTCTCATATGAAGTTTTGGTATTCAATTATTTCAATGATATATTTTTTTTGGTTGAAATTAGGTGGGATAATCGATGGTCAGTGGCGTTACCAAAAAATGAAATATTTTATTTAGTGGCTTTGCTAAGGTTTAGCCATGCACATCCAACAGAGTCAGAAATAAATCAAATGGTGGCACAAAATGAGGAGATTGTACAAACTTGTATCAAGAATGGATTTGATTTTAAAATGTATCTACCTCATTACAACTCCACAGTTGAATGGAAAAGGCACTTTGGGGATCAATGGGGAAGATTTGTCAACAGAAAGAGGCAGTTTGATCCAAAGTATGTCCTTGCACCTGGCCAAAAAATATTTACTAGAAATCACCAATTCTAATAAATATATACTATTAATAATTACTTGTAGGATAGGTCAAGTTTTACATTTTACAAAATTTGGAATTGAAGTTAAAATTCTTGTGTAAATTTCAACAACGGACCTTGATTTTAAACTAAAAATTTGAAATTGAGATTCAAAAACATATGGTCAAATGCCACCAACTTTTGTTTGTACTAAAGTTTATAAAAGAAATTAGGAATATACACAGTAATGAGAAACTGTCCACATTATATTATTAGCTTAGATTTGATGATTTCGAGCTTTCGTATTTGTATGAGTCTACGTAATATATAGTTTAGACTGTGAATTTTCTACTTGAACTATCATCTAATAATTAACAAAACATATCTAGACGTTGAATAAACTATATATTTGTCCAAAACTGTTTGCGTTTGTACATAAAATTTTCCTCCTCCTGGAAAATATAACGACTCTATTTGTTAACACATTATTTTTTTTAGTATATTTGTATTTGACTTCTTCAAAATTCTAAACTCTCCCCTTTCAAGGCAGTGATATCAATGACAAATCTAAGAAAGTGAAGAAGAAAATGATGGATATCACAATTGAAATAAATCAATTTATATGATAATAGTTTAACCTTTTAACATATAAACTAATATTAAGTTATTCAAATTTACCATGGTGGAATCATTTCCGGTGTAGTGTCATGTAACAAAAATTTTAAACAAAAGGCAGAGTATACATACATAATTGGAAATTAGTCAAGACGTGTTTTGCTAACTATAAGTGATATTTCATGTAAGAAATTTACACTTTTGATAATTCAGATATGAAACTCAAAAAATTAGGATAATTTCAATGTGTTTTATTTTGACGTGTGACTTTTTAATTTTGAGTTCATGATTTTCAAAGTGATAGAATTGATTTTTGGGAAAGAAAAAAAAGAGTGGAAAAGAAAATCTACACTAACTTTTTTGATGATATACTATCTTTCAAGATTCTCCAATAATGATGAATACGTACATCAATGATATTTAGTCATGAGTCATATCATGAAAGTGCCAACATATTCAAGCTAATTACGTAATTTTACAAATGATTTAATGATGCTATATATATTCTTACAAAAGATGTGATCTTAATTAGGCAAATTAATCATAGCTCCACTTGGCTGTATCATTTAGAATAAGGAAAAACAGGATGTGTTAATAAATGATTGGATTATTGACCTGTTTAAATATTACTTTGACTAGAGACTATTGAATTAAAATGAGTTAAAAGTCTATTCATAATTCAATACATTCAATTCTTCTTTTAAGTTTTAAATTCAAGAACTCTGATTTTTCTTAATAATTTGTTTGAGTACTGAATACAATTTTTTACCATATGACTATATAACATATAGTCATAATGAGCTCATAGGTCAGTTCGATTGTGGAATAGGTTGAACTAAATGGGTTCAAATTAATCAAATAAATAAGTTATTGATATGTGGAGAATGAATTAAAATTTTATAGACTGATATTGCCATTACTAACATAAGGCATATATATAGGTGACAACTGACAAGAGAAGATTAATCGAATAAAATATCTTGTACTTTTAATTTTAAGATCACTAGTTCCAATTATCAAGAGACGAAAAGATTATTTTTTTTTAGAAAAAAATAAGGTAATCATTAAAAGGAATTAAAGAACATGGGAAAAATCTAACTGTAGCTTAAAGCATGCAAAACTCAAGAATATATATCAGCTGGCTTCTTTTCCTCCACTAAACAAATAAGAGTACTAGGACCATTAGTATGCACACTATCACTATACACATACATTATTTTGAGTGAATCTAATTAAGTGTACATAAATGCAAATATCCCAAAACATAGTAAATTAGATACTTTCCCAATTAAGTATTTTATGTGATATCTATTCTTACCCTTTAATGATTGAAAAATGCTAAATCCTCCGTGTGAACACCTAATTTTTTACCAAAATATAAAGAGTCAAACACCAATTTTTTTTAAAAAGATTATATTTAAAATAAATAAAAAATAAATAAATTGTGTAAATTACTTTAATGATAAAAATTATGAATTTATGGTATTTGTTTTAAATCTTCAACTTTTAATAAATTTAAAAATAATGGTAGAAGAAGAAGAAAAAGGGAGTCCTAAATATTCAAATTACCTTCCCCTTATCCTAATTATTCACAACTTCCTAACCTATTTTACTAAAAAATCTGATCCTATTTATTTTTTTTAATTTTTTTATTTTTTTCTTTCTTCTCTCTCTTTGACGTTAATTTCTTTTTTTTATATATATTTTTTAATTTTCTATTATTATTTATTTATTTTATATCCATCCTTATCTCAACCCCAATTCGCTCAACAATATTTCAAATAAAATCCTAATCCAGCTCTATTAGGTTCCTTTGAATTAGCACCAAACTCTCAGCCAAAAAGATTATAAAAAGACGTTCAGTTGAGAAGAAAAGAAGATATAGAAAAATACACAGAATACACAGATACACAAATACACAGATATAGAGATATATAGAGAAAAACAGAAATACGGAGAGAAATATATAGAGCAAACACAAAGAGAAGAAAGTGAGTCATTCTTTTGAGAATTAGGTCAGAGTTAGAGTTTTTTTGTCGTGGTTCCAAATTCGTGGCTCAAATCAATAGATCATAGAAGTTAGTTTTCGTGATATCCATCTTCGCAGCGAGGTAATTCTAAACTCTCGCATTATTTAAATGTAATATTGTATGAAGATTTGAATCTAACAATATGAAGTTCTTTAAATAGTATGTTATTATTATATAATATCAATCCGTAATGCATGTGTTATGATTTTTTTTATTTTTTTTCTAGTGTTAATATGCTAACAAAAATAATATAAAATAAAAAATGTATTATACATTATTTTATTTTTTTGCATTATTATTAGTGTCTGTTATTTTTTTTGATGCAATTTATATTAAAATTTATTTTGTGATATTTAATAGAAAATATTTTTTTCTGGAGCCTATATTTTCACTAAAAAAACAAACAAATAAATTTATAAACTTGTTAGATTAGGATATATAAATAATTGGTAAATTTTTTTATCTAAGTAGAATTGTAATTTCATCTAGAGATTCATGATAAAATAATGATAATTACTATTAATAATTATAATATTTTTTTGAGAAATTGTATAAAGAGAACAAAAGAGTAAAAATAAAAAATAAAACAAAAAGCCTAAAACATAAAAGAAAAAAACAATGAATAAAAAAATAACAGAATTTGAAAAAAAATAGAAACAGAAAATAAAAATAAAAAGAGGAAAGGAGAATGAAAAATAAAAAATAAAAAATAAAACTAATAAAATAAAAAGTAGAAACTAAAAAAAATACGTAAAATAAAAAAGAAGTAACAAAAACCACAAGAATAAAAAAAAGAAGAAAAGAACGTAAAAGAAAAAGAGTAACAAAAATTATTTAAAAAAAAAGAGAAGAAGACAAATTTAAAATAAAAAAAATAAAACAGAAAGTTAATAAAAAATAAAATAAAAGAAATAACAGAAACTTTTATATATATAAAAAGAAACAGAAAGTAATAAAAGAAAAAAAAAGCGTGAAAATCAAAAGAAAAAAAAGAAGAAGAGAAAAGTAGAATGAAAAATAAAAAAATAAAATATAAAACTAATAAAAACTAAAAGTAGATATAAAAAAAATGAAGAAGAACGCAAAAAAAATTAACAAAAATTATTTTTTTTATAAAGGAGAAGACAAAATCTATAAAATAATAATAAAACAAAAATAATGATAAAATAAAATTAAAAAAAAACGAGAGAGAGAAACAAATTTACAGAAAACAAAACAAAAAAACAAATATATAAAATCCAAAAAAAAAAGCGTGTAGAAAAAAAAAGATAAAAAAAATAACATTCCTAATCTATTTCTTGATAAAAACCAACTTCAAATCTTATAAAATTTTATTTTCCTATTTTTAATTTAAAATAAATAAATAAATATATAATCCTAAATTAACTTGAACTTTAAATATTTATTCCTACACAAACTCTAATTCTTAAGAACCAGATATATTCTACTTATAATAACATTAAAAAATTAAAAACATACAAATATAAGCAGAAAAAGATATACGAATGTTCAATTTTAAAATTAATGGACGCACAACCAAAAAAAATGAAGAAAGAACATTTAAAATAAATAAACCAGTTTAAAATAAGTTTAAAATAAATCTGAAAATAAATAACAATTTTATTATTAAGTTAAATAATACAGTGTCCAAAAATTAAGTTAAGTCATACTAAAATCAATAAAGCGACCGTGCTAGAACCACGGAACTCGAGGGGTGCTTAACACCTTCCCCTCGGTCAACAGAATTCCTTACCCGAATTTTTAATTCGCAGATCAATAAAATAGAGTCAAATTTCCTTTTGATTAGGGATTTAAATAAGGTGACTTGGAACACCAAAACTCAATTCCAAGTGGCGACTCTGAATAATAATTATCCCTTTTCAAAATGTCACTTTAATTGGACAAACTCTTTTTTTTTCGAAACAATAAAAAAATGAAAAATATATTGAGAGGACAAAAAAGGGGCGTGACAGATGGCGACTCCGCTGGGGATTAACTAGAATTCGAGTTAATGTATGATATTATTTGATGTGCATATAAATTGTGATCTCTTGCGAATTTTACTTAGTCTTCAATAATAATATGATGGGAATTGCAACTATGCACCCCATTTCTGTCAAGATAGCCAGTGGATCTTCGGTCCATGGTGAAGGATTTTTAATCACACATATTTAGGATAGGGAGCACCCATGCACAAAGCCGGAAAGCGCTGCTACCGGTACGTTGCTACTCCCTAACTCGAGTTGTCAGCTCGTTTTACAGCCAGTCTAGATACTTTTTTCCACAAGTTTAAACATGATAACTGAAACCAAATGTAATAGTTCCTAATAGACTTCATTATTTGAATTATTTACATATGATTTAATGAAAGACTCTACATACGATCGGATCTATCTAGATAAATAACTCAATTTACCATTTTAAATTAAAATCAGAATAATAGAAAAAGTTTTTTTTTCTTTTACAAAATAAAGTTCACAAAAAGAAATTTTAAAAGTTTTATTATATCACTTTAAACGAAGAAAAAAGTTGCATTTGTCAATAAATTTCTAACAAAAAATATTTAAGTGTTCAATCTGAACGAACTACGCACACCTGATTCTCACCTTGATGAGATACGTAGGCAACCTTCCTT